TTCTTCTCCAACTTTGCGCACTACCGGGATCTTCTTATCGCATCTCTCCTCATTTTCCAGTGTCTCCTTGAAGGCCTTCAAATTTATGAGGTATATTTTCAGAAACCACACCATCAATGGTATGAGTAATTAATGAGCTAATCAATTAATTAGAAATAAACTATTAATAATGATGATAAAATAATAATAAGAAAACAACAACGACAACAGCTTAAAAGAAAAAAACAAAAAACAACTTCAGCCATACCACACCAAGAAAAAAGGAAGTGTATGGGGGTATTGTTTTGTATGTGTGCTATTGACTTCTTAGGAGGGGGTGGGTTGGCCAATAATATTTATATTAGATATTATACATACACAAATATAAATTATACACGAATGCCTAAATTAACAGTTTGTACTACTAAAGATTGATGCGGAAAAAACATAACTTGAAATACAGCTGGGGAACAAGGAATATATTATATAAATGTTTGTATTAGATGTTATACAAAACAAATACAAATGAAACGTGATTTTTCAAATGAACAATTTGTACAATATACTACAAAGATACGTCACAACCAAATTTCGACAAAATGGCAGCTTCCTTTGGGAGCACACGACGTCGTAAATATGGCGAAACATGGTCTTTTTATTGTATTCGCAAGACGATATTAGTTGGCCTACAGCAATGCTTTTTATATCACAATATTAAATGAAACGTTTCTTTACTCTCTATGTCATGATATGCCTTATAGTAAAGAGGTTAATTCCCCTTTAGCATTAATTTAAAAAAAAAGGAATATTTAAAAATATAGCTGGGGAACAAGGAATAAATATCTTTCCATTATCTGACATTATATTGTTTACCGGGAGATTGTATTATGGACGTAATTTGAGTTTAAAAAAAAAAAAAAAACTTTTCATCGGGTTCTTCTCCCCCTTCTTATACTTCTTGTGCTTGTTCTTGTTGGTGTTGTTGTTCTTCTGTTGCTACTACTTATCATCCTCCTTCTTGTCTTCTTCTTCTTTCTTCCTCGCCTTCTCATCTTCCTTTCTTCTTCCTCTCCTCCTCTTCTTCCTGTCATTCCCATCTCCTTCCTCTTCCCATTCCCTTTCTCTTCCCATCTCCTTCCTCTTCCCATCCCCTTCCTCTTCCCATCCCCTTCCTCTTCCCATCTCCTTCCTCTTCCCATCCCCTTCCTCTTCCCATCCCCTTCCTCTTCCCATCTCCTTCCTCTTCCCATCCCCTTCCTCTTCCCATCCCCTTCCTCTTCCCATTCCCTTTCTCTTCCCATCTCCTTCCTCTTCCCATCCCCTTCCTCTTCCCATCCCCTTCCTCTTCCCATCCCCTTCCTCTTCCCATCCCCTTCCTCTTCCCATCCCCTTCCTCTTCCCATCTCCTTCCTCTTCCCATCTCCTTCCTCTTCCCATCCCCTTCCTCTTCCCATCCCCTTCCTCTTCCCATCCCCTTCCTCTTCCCATCCCCTTCCTCTTCCCATTCCCTTTCTCTTCCCATCTCCTTCCTCTTCCCATCTCCTTCCTCTTCCCATCTCCTTCCTCTTCCCATCTCCTTCCTCTTCCCATCTCCTTCCTCTTCCCACCTTCTTCTTCTTCTTCATAAACATTACTATTATTACTATTATTGTTATTGTTATCCCTCTTCCCATCCTCCTCCTCCTCCTCTCGACAGTTCCAAGCAGTTCATTCCAACACCATGGAACCGATGAAACCATTCGTGGAGCGACATCAAAACGAGGTCACTGTACTCTCTAAGCCCATCTTGGCCCTCGTCAGCGTCCTCGCCTTCCTGCGTATCATGCCGTACCTGACGGCGAACGACCTGGTGGGCGCCTTCCAGATCTCGCTGGGGGACATGATCGTCAACACCTCCCATTTTTTCGTCATCCTCATCGGCGTTTTCATCGCCTTCTCGAGCGGGATGACCTACATCTACAGCAACACCATACAGGGGTCTCGAGACCTAAGCTGCGAGTTCCGCCGTGGGGACTGCTCCGATCTTGAAGTTCATTTCAACAAGTGCGTTGTGGGGCGTGTTCATACGCTGTTTCCATGCTTCAGATTTCCTTGAAATGGTTTAGATTACTAGATTGTGGTTAACACAGTCAGTTAAAGCCCCACTGCACTACGTATAGCTGCTTGCGCCCTCTATATAGCAAACAATGCCTAATCGGTGACCTTTGGTCCCCCATGATCCCCTTTTTCTTATGTTAATTGAGAGCTGATTTGATGAGACAACCACCTTTCAGTGACCATGCAGGGAGGTCTAATCCCTCCTGGCCAAACTAGTGTAGTGGGGCTTAAATAAAAATGTACTAACTTGTAAAGAAAAAATAATACTCAGGGATGAAGCACATCGTACAAAACATCCTTAACCAAAATCCCTGCCCAATGGAATAATACCTGTTTTCTTAGGAATTTTAAATAGTTGTAATACTTTTGGCATCATTGCTTTAATCGTAGCATCGTTAAAAGTAAAATTTTGAAATGCATTTCATAAAGCGATCGCCTCAAAAAAAAAAGTTCTTGTGAAAATTATAATAGTATATTAGTAATAATATCGGCGTTATTGCAATGGATGCAACACACCACTACAACAATGTATGTCGATAACATGAATTTAATACTTATTTTTTCTGTGAGTAATAAAGACTAAGTAAATTTGACTAAGTAAAATTATGATCGAAGCCTCATATTCTTGTGTTCATTTCATCTGCAGCATCGGCCACGCCACGCTTACACTCTTCTGGACGTTATTCGGTATGATCGGTATCGATATCCTTAGCCTGCCAGCCAATCAGCGGGTCCAGCAGATAGCAGGAGTCGGCATGTTTGTCCTCTTCCACCTATTAGCTGTCCTCGTACTTCTCAACGCGCTAATTGCTGTCATGAGCAATGTCTATAACGCCGTTGAGGTATGTAGGCCGACGTCTTCCCAATCACGTGGTCATTGAAAACATTAGTCCCGTTTCAACAATTCTCGCTACCCCAAATAGCGATTCTGCCGAGATCCGGGGAAAATCCTGAAAACGCGCATTGCATTATGGGATAGCTTTTCGACATTACAGCTTCCTGTGCAGGCGTTCGTGATCACAACCCTCTCTTTCACGGTAGAGTTTAACGGCCTTTTGTGCTAAAGTCACTAATTCTGCCCGAAGCTTTCCATTGCATATTATAACCTGTACAAATTACACTGATTGGCATCGATTTTAGCGTGCGTGAAAACTCTGCACAGCGAACACAGGCGCTAGCGCCAGCGGGATGGGACTCTATACCGGAAGTTGTAGTGACGACCCGAGAGAGTGAAAGTTACCTCGTCTCGCGAATTTCGAGATTTTCGTACCTATTTAGGGTAGCGAGAATTGACTCTGACTTAGCTTTTATCCTAACATTGACTCTAACCCTAATTCGAACCCTAACCCATATCCTAGTCCTTACCGTAACGCCGTTGAGGTATGTAGGCCGACGTCTTCCCGATCGTGTGGTCATTGAAAACATAGGACCCGTTTCAGAATACCAAATCGAAATAACAAGTGACTCTAAGCTTAGCTTTCATCCTACCCTTGGCTCTAACTCTAACCCGAAGTCGAACCCTAACCCATATCGTAGTCCTAACCGTAACACCATTGAGGTGTATTGGTTTTACGTCACCTCATTTGTGTGGTCACTGAACATTATGGTGCAGAATACCAAATCAAAATGTCAAGTTACTCTAAACTTAGCTTTCATCCTAACCTTGGCTCTAATTCTAAACCTACCCCTAACCCTAAATCGAATCCTAACCCATATCCTAGTCCGTTGAGGTGGATTGGTTGACGTCTTCCCAATCATGTGGTCATTGAAAACATTGGACCCATTTCAGAATGTGTGTGTGTGTTCTAATTTATAGTATTTTTTACGAGGTCTGTCCCTGTGCAAGACATTTTACTTCACACCTCTCTTCTTAAAGATGATTTCTAACTGCCAGTTGTCTTTGGGTTTTTTACTTTCTTTTCTTTCATGGGTTTAATTACTTTGAGAAGACAATTCTGATCTGTTTTATAAGGTGCAGATTAATGTACAATAATCTGTTCCTATCCTCACAATCTAGTCCTATACCGGACCAACTATGTGCTCTTTCATATTTTTTTCTTCAAACAGATAATTGAATAAACAACCATACATAAACAAATAAGTAAAGAAAGAAAGAAAAAAGAAGATAAATCAATTTATAAATTGATCAATTTATAAAAAGGTCTTTTCTTGCAATTTTTCAGGAGAACGGGGACGTTGAGTGGAAGTACTCTCGCACTGCATTGTGGATGTCTTTCATGGATGATATGTTTACTGTGCCCCCTCCCTTCAACCTCATACCCGACGTGAGGAATTTGTGTCGCCACTGTCACACATGTTGGACCACTGAAGGCGGCGTTGTTACGACACCACCCAAGAAGGAGGAAGATGTAAGGATGGAATTGCTATTGTCACGAACACATTCATGCATATTCATAAATATCTTATGTTGTGGGGACAGAGTCAATAATGGTGAAAATGAAGTTTTGGTTGGTATAAGTGCACCATTGTATGTATTTTGTCCCGTATTTTAGTATTACACGATGTTGTGTTTGGTTTGTAGATGTGCATTATTCGTTACATCAATTAATACCCTTTGATTTAAAAAAAAAAAATGTTATCTTATAAAAATACCCGTTGACGTTGTAATATGTAAACATGAATTTATGTGCGTGCTATTATTGTTGATTTACCTAATGTTGTTGATGGTCGACCCAGATTACAAAAACAAACATGATTTATCAATTAAGATTTATTTTCCTGATTGCAATCGGTAATTCATTGTAGGCATATCAAATAACTTGGATAGGACTCACGCATATTTCTTTTTTGGTTTCAAGCAAGTTAAATAATCTATTTCGGACCAGGAAATTGTAAAATCTTAAAGATAAACTTGAGTTCTGCTAATGCGATTGCATTGTGAAAGAAAAGGTGTGGAATGGATCAGAAAAGTTGATCATATAGCATGTAAGTAATGGTGTGTAATGCAAGGTTCTGGAGTCATCAAAATCATCATAAATTTGGCAGAGTCTTGGTAAAGTAACAATCACTTACACAGAAAGATGTATATGGGACAACACACATGGTGTCGGGGCTAGTAGCCTACTACCCTGATTTCTTTATCTTTCTATGCTCATTACTCAGCCAGTATACATTTTCTTCCAAAATTGTTTGGCACATGACATTTATTTGTAATCTTGAACATTCAGTGTAAGTTTCGTTAAATTCTCTGAGAATTCATTTTCTTTTTTTTACCAGAACTCAAGTTTATCTTTAAGTATGCATCAACGTTCTTCTGGCTCCTAGAGGACGGAATCATACTTTATAATCACATCATGAAAATGACAGCCGTAACTTTAATATGAATTTTTTTTAAAAGAAGATAATGCCATCTTATTCACAACACATGTTGCATTTTGTTCTTTGTTTTTCTGTTCTAGGACGTGGATGAATATAGGACAGTAGGTCAGGAGGATTATGAGGTAAGGTGCATTGTAGTATGATCATGGACATGCATATTAGGATAATGGGGTGGAGCAGACAGTGTCTCCTTTATTTTTAAATATTTTTTGTCAATGCTCATTTTTACATCATATTCTACTTCTTCTTGTCTTTGTCTTTGATCTTGATCCTCTTGCTATTCCTGGGAGTGTCTCACAAAGATCCCAAGTCGAACTTAACTCTAAGTTGGACATTATAGAGAGCCATTTGTAGCCTTAAAAGAGAATATATTCAAAGGAAAAATTCAAGTATTTTAGACTTTTCATTAATTCCACATCAAGAACATGAAATCTCCTTGATAATAGAAAATAAGAATGATTTGAATGAACACGTGATGCCTTTTAAAATAACTTTTACAAAATATTTCAATGATACTAACGGCTTTTCATAATTGTTAAGTCCAACTTAGAGATAAGTTCAACTTAGGATCTTTGTGAAACACCCCTCCCCTGGTGTTGGTGTTGCCGTTGTTGTTGTTGTTGTTGTTGTTGTTGCTATTCTTCTTCTTCAGTGAACAGATCTGTACGAAAGATGTCAGAGAAATATAACAAAATATGTTTTTGTGAAACTTTCAGAGGGTGATAAAGCAATTGATGGAACGGTACGTGACGAAAAGACTTACCACTGAACAAAGTGCTAACAGTGAAATAGGACCCATGGACATCCGGGACCTTAGAAATGACGTGGCTTCCCTCAGGTTGGTAAAAACAAAATAAAGATGATGATAATAATAATGATAATAATCATAGTAATACTAATATCAATAATGAAAGAAATAGCAATAATAATAAAGATAATCATAAACATAATAAAATAGCATGTTCTACATTGTTCCTTAAGAAACTAAAAAATTACTTTCATGAACTCTCCAATTTGAAACTTGTACAAAGATGAACAAAAAATCGGGGGATCTGAGGAATAGCAGATTGTCCTCATATTCCCTTATTTCCAGCCCCCTCCCCCCCCCCCAAAAAAGGGGGGGGGGGGTTAGGATACAGAAATAAAGTAGACTACTGGAAAGTTATCTCTTCAGATGGGTCAAGTCACAAATCAATTGAATGCTTTAATACATATTTTTAGATTCATTAAACATTTATTTTCTTAAAATCGGTTGAAAAAAAAACTTTTAAAAAAAGCCGACCGTAGATTTTAAGTTTTTGGGTCGGTCCCAAGAGGGCAATCCACCAACTTTTTTTTTAAAAGCCTCATTGATTTTTTTTCTTTCAGGTTTGATGTGACGGCCAAGCTCGTGTACATGGAGGAAGCCATTAACAGCGGAAACAACCAGAGTGACAAGATCTATGGACAAAGTGAGGAAGCAGGCAACATCTTTGACAGAACTCTGGAAATCGACCAGATGGTGAATAAATACAAGTACGCCATCACAGAGATATATCACAACGTCGAAAAATACAAGGTTGGTATAGACTGTAAATATAATACTGAGGTGTTGACTAGGCCTTGTGGCGTGCGCCTGTAATCCAGCTAACAATCATGGAAGTTGCAAACTGATTCAGTCGAGGACGCAGGTTCGAAACTGAGTCACGTCTTTCGGATATTGACGTTTAAAGGTCGGTCCCCAAACGTAAATAATCATATCTGATTAGGGACAATGCGTCAACCTTGATTTTCCTTAATCTAGTACGGTACTAGTATATGCCGCGTGCGCATAAAATATACAGTTCCTCAGGTAGACAAAGGAACATCCATTCCCTGCTATTATGTAAAAATGTGTAGAACAGGTGTCACATGCATATTCACCTGTTCTACACATTTTTACATAATAGCAGTGGAGGGATGTTCTACCATGTAGCAATAGGCCATTTTCGTAATGTAACCGAATTTAATGCATAGGTCTTTGTGAAGTGCCTCAATACAAACTATTTAATTCACCCGATAAGAATAATAGTATTTCAATAGACAGAATCCTAACTGCATACATTAGTTGTTGCCAGGTTGGACAAACATTATGGCTTGACCTACCTAGCAACACTTAATATATGCAGTTGCATTCTTACTATAACACTACTATTATTCCTATCAGGTGAATGAAATAATTTGTATTGAGGCACTTCACAAAGACCTATGCATTAAATTCGGTTATATTACGAAAATGGCCTATTGTTGAGGGTAGAATGAGGAACTGTATATTTTGTCCTCTTTCTTTGTCTGTCATGTTCATAATGTTACTTCCTGCATACATGTATATCGTCGAGTGCAATCTAAAATATTTCTAATTGTAGTCAACATGGGCAGTTCAGTACGTTGACACGCATGATCAGTCGGCGTTCGTCGTGTTCTCGTCCACTCAATCTAAAAGTCCCTATTGATACACGTCTATAAAAACGCAATTCACACACACACACACACATACACACAAACATGATGTCATATTCGCTCGTCGTCCAGGATTACTGGTTCTAAGCAATAGAGCCTGTGCATGAGGTTTACCGTGAAATTATTCTGGCAAGGGGCTGGAGCGGGGCAAATTCGGTGTTTGGCGCGTGTGTGATCACCATGCCATTGTTTAACACATTATTGGTTGAAACCAGCAAGATTAACAGGTTGGCCTGTGTGACGTCACACTTCGGTACTCTACGGGCATTGACCTCTGGTTTGTGAACCGACGACTGATCTGGTGGCAATAGGTCAGCTCGTAGATACAATCTGCACATGGGCAAGGACGAAAAAGCCACTTCGGAGATGGCACTTGTACATGTTAGACTCCAAATATCCACAGATCTTTTACAAATGCACGGAGACGTCCCACTTTGCGCATTAGGGACTTTTAGATTCGCACGAAAACAATGTGGATTGCTACGGTCGACGTCATTTTAATGCACTGTCTTGAATGGACGTCGCACGTATCAGTCCACGCAAATCTAAAAGTCCCTATTTTAGAAAAATAAAAGACAAGCAAACAAGCAAGCGAACTAAAAGAAGCTGAATCAGTTTGGTACTAAAATAGAACCAAAAACGTGGCAAATAAAGAAAACAAAATCAAAATGGATGACAATGCAATACAACCAAAAAGGTGGCCCTTTTAAGCTGTTGGGAGGGAGCCTCATTTCTAAACACGCATTATCAACAAATTCTGGAGACATCAAAGCCATTTTCCATACTTCTCGTGCAATAAGCAGTCATTGTTATCGTTGGCATGAAATGAGTAGATCACCTAGCATTACGATCGACCGGTTGCGTTTCATGATCACGTCTGTCTTCCTTACCAAATGATACCGACTTTCTTTCTCGTCATTGACTTTATCTTAAAATCTTAATTTCTATCAAAATGTTTGTAGGCCCTCAAAGGTTATACGATAATTTTATTTGGATATTATAGGGAAGAAATTTAACAAATTGCTTCAGCTGAAGACAGTCATTTAAATGATTATGATCCATGATCAGCACTAATTTTTTCGAAACGCATTATTCTCTTCTGTAGAAAGATGAATATTTCCAATAAAAAAGGTTCCATTTCAGTTTTGAGAAAATTGTGTACATACCAAATATTGGCCATTTATCGTTAACAGTAAAAACAAAGTAACAAACAAAACTAATGCAATTACAGAAACCTAATATTATGCAAGTATAATGAATAAAGCATAGTCATTGCAACAGCGCTCTAAAATCTCAGATTATCATAATTATTATTATTATTATTATAATTATCTTTATCATTATCATTATCATTATCATCATAATCATCGTCATACTCGTCGTCGTTGTCGTCGTTGTTGTTGTTGTTGTCATAATAATTGTTTTTATTATTAGTAGTAGTAGTATTACTGATATTTGTATGGCTGATTTTTTTCATTATTATTGCTGTTGTTGTTAATACTATTAATTGGTATGGTTTCTTCACTCGACGTCGTCTAGGACTTCATCCCGGCTCTCGAACAACTCAACTCCATGATGGATACGATGATGCAGTCGGAATCCAAATCTAGCGCTCACGTCTACGGCTCCAAGCTCGTCCCCAACCTCGTCAGGCGCTACGAAAAGGCGAAAAAGCCGGCGCCGAAGGAAGGGGGTCGACGCTCCGGTGCCTTTAAAGTCGGGAGCCCGCATAGTTTGCCTGATGCGAGCAGGATGCACGTAAGGCAGGGAGCCGAGTCCCGTTCAGCGTTCTCGTCGCAGTCAAGCCTTAACAGGACCGGGGACGGAGACCAAGACGACCCCCCTCCGTAGAACGTTCATAAGTGAATATATACCTTTTTAGAATAATAACCCATCAGAGAGACATTTTAAATGAATTCTTTTAATGACTAGCACTTTCATGGCAAGGCTAATGCCAGAATTCTATTTCATTTTGTTGTCTAATGCTCCTTGTATTAAGTTAAAGGATCTCAAACTCGAGTTTATTGAATGCTTTGTATTTCAAGATTTCTATAATAGGATGGTGGTGAGCAAACTCACTGAAAAATATTTTAAACATGTGTTTGGGGTAAAAAAAAAAAATGTCCCCATTCATTTCTTCGTTTATTCGTATAATTACTTCTTTTCATGTAGGAAGCCTTCCTATTGACAACCCGGCCCCCCCCCCCTCCCTCCCCCACTCCGGGGTCGGAATGACCGCATGCGTGTTACCAAAATGTCCGGTAAAGGGGTACTTTTCACGCACCAAAGTCCGGCTCGTACATTCACAAACTTGACTTTACACACCGGACTTAGGGGGTGTTTTCAAAAGGAGGGAACACGCATATGCGTACCCTAAATAACACTGAGTGGGGGGGGGGGGGGAGGGCGGGACTGACAATCTTCGTTAAAATGCTTAAACGACCAAATTATGTCTTATATAATATATATCAGACTTGTATTGCTCTCACATGGTATTTAATAATAAAATATTAATGATAGTGTATTGAATCGTGTATAACTTTGGTAATGTTTGTCTTTATTTGTGATTTATGACGTTTGTGTACGTTTCATTTTTATAACAGATGTGCTGAGTTATTATGTGTTTGGTAATTAACAACGTCAGCGGTGTTAGGTAATGATCTGGTATGTGATCATGCAATGTCAATTCATCAGTACTAGCAAACAAATTGTGTAAGCGTTCAGGAAGAGTGTCGTTTTTGGAGGACAGCGGAATTCTCCCGTTAACGGGATAAGTCTTGAACAGGCATAAGTGTTCATCTACCCTCCCCTTAACCACTGTGCACACAAGAGAGAAAGAGATATACATATTTGTATAGGAACCAATGTCATTGAACATGGTTTTTCGCTTCTTCCTCCTCTCCTTCTTCTTCTTCTCCTTCTTCTTCTTCTTCTTCTTCTTCTTCTTCTTCCTCTTCTTCTTCTTCCTACTTTTCTTCCTACTCTTCTTCTTTGTTTTCCTCTGATTATGATGACCATGAATTGTCGAATTCATATAGAACGTTTACACAGTGGACAAGCTACTGAAAGGGCACGTGTGCTAAATGGCCCGGCCTTTAATATCCCTTTAACGGGGGACATGGGTTGTCCTCCAAAAACGCCCCTCTTCCTAATTTGATAAAAATAGGGGGAATTTTTTTTAACCCAGTGAACAACGAACTCTACTTGTTTTTTTTCTCTTTCACAAACAACTAACCTTTTCTGCGTGATTAGAACATGCCCTTTTGCTAAAATTTATTGAGAATACCATTTTCAGTGAATAAATTCATTTTTTTAATATATACAGATTGCGTGATAACTTTATTTTTTCGTAGTCGAGTTGTTAGCCGTTGCAAAGAAATCATGTTGTATGATATTACAGAATAACATTAAACTTGAAATAGATAAGCTGTTGGTATTGTTGTTGCCCATGGTTCTTCTGGTTTAATGTAACTTTTATGTGTGTTCTCTACTTCTCTATTACATGTTATCTCTGTGTTTAAAATATTATTTTCTGAGAATACCATTTTTAGTGAATAAATTTATTTTCATGTACATGTATGTACAGATTGCGTGATCCCTTCATATTTTGTAGTCGAGTTGTTAGCTTTTGCAAAGAAATCGTGTTTTTTTAACAAATCATTCCTCGTTCGTGAACTACATGATACATTATCTGTTGCGAATGTTGTTTCCAACGGTTCTTCTGTTTTTATGTAAAGCCTCGATCACAAATGACGTACGAACGATTTTCAGACAATGGAAATTCGGGAAGACAATGGAAAAACAGGGATATTCGTACCGTTCGTACGAACCTTTGTAACCGTAGCTTCTCTTTTAAGTGTTCGCAATTACATTCTGTCACACTGTTTGAAATGGTATTTTATGAGAATACCATTCTTATTGAAAGAAAAGAAAGAAGAAAAAAAAATCAATTTTATATATGTACAAATTGCATAATCACTTAAGTTTGTTGTAGTTTTTAGCTTTGGCAAATAAATCATGTTTTGTCGACAATCATTCCTCATGTACGATAGTACAGAATTACATTAAACTTGAAATAGATTTTCTGTTGTTATTGTTGTTGAATCAGAGCTATAACATCATGGTACTGTTCTATGTATCTTGTATGTGTTCCATATCATATGTACAATTATCAGCTTTTTAAATGTCATTTCCTGAGAATATTGGTACGATTGTTACCTCTTTTTACACAGACTGAATAAATACACTTTTAATCATATTTCGCACGCATCATTGATAAATCTGATACATAATGATGACAATTTTGTGGTGGTTAAAAAATGATGATGTTGTTGTTGGAGGTGGTGGTGGTGCTGATTATGATGGCTGTGGTGGTAGTGGTTGTCGCGGTTTGGGTGGTAGTGGTGGTCACTGTTGGGGCGGTAGCTGTGATGGTGGTGATGGTGATGGTAATGTTGATATAATGATGATGACGGCGGTGGTGATGATAGAGATGCCAAGGATGATGACGATAATGGTGATTTTCGTGATGCTTATGATGTTGATGATTGATGATGGTGGTGATAATGATCAAAACAGAACAAAGATGATGATGATGATGATGTTGATGATTATTATCACGACAGCGGTTATGATGACAATTATTATTGTGATGATGTTGATGATTATTATCACGACAGCGGTTATGATGACGATTATTATTGTGATGATGATTGTGGTGGTAATGATGGTGATGATGGTGGTAATGCTGATACCGATAATAAAATTTAAGATGTTGATAATGATGACGTTGGTTATTTCCATGATGAGTATGATGATAATTATGATCATAAACATATTGATAGAGATTAAGATAGTGATGATGATGTCGATGGTAATGAGGAGGCCGGCAATGAAAACTGTGATGGTGAGGGGGAGGAAGAGAGCGGTGATGATTGTTGTGATGATTATGATGTTGATGATAATAACGATGATGATAGGAATGAAGATGGTGATGAAGATGTCGGTAATCAGGGAAAGGAAGACGATGGTGGTGAAGGGGGTGACGCGGACGATGATGAAGATTGTAACGATGACAATGAATACGATGTTGATTATGACGAATGTGATAAAAGACCGAGGAGGAGAATGTTTGTGGTGATGATAACAATGATGTTGATACTTTTCACATTATTTCTTGTTCGCCTTAGGGAGACAAATTTTGATTTTAAAATGATTTATTCTAAATGATTTAGATCATGTGAGTAACATTAAAGGTAAAGACCAGTTTTGAAAACGCCTCCATTTCAAAAAATGAAATGGAAGCTCTCAATACAAATCATGAGAAAAAATATGTTTTGACTAATACATGATGATACAAATTTTGCCGGGAAACCGCCTACTAATTGATATATTTGGTAAATTATTATATCTATCTGGACTGGATAGATAAAGGGAAGTCCCACATACATCTTTCTGTGTTCAGTACTTGTATCTATACCAAGACTGGGCCAAACTTCTTATCATTTTGATGATTCCAGAACCTTGCAGTACACACCAATACTTATATGCTACATGATCAACCTTTTCTGATCGATTCCACCCCGTTTCTTTCACACTGCAATCGCATGACCAGAACTGGTCTATACCTTTAAAAGGATTCCTGGTAGTAACAAAGAGAAAACGTACTTTATATAACCGGCATTCAAGGGTAGTCACCATCATTAAAAAGGTAATTAGGCTTGAGGAAAGTGGAATATGAACGTGTGAAAAAGAAGAAATGGATGAAGAGAAAGTGCTTGAATTAAATAATGCGAGTGGAGGGAGATGGTTTGTGTGTGTATGTGTGTGTGTGTGCGAGAGAGAGAGAGAGAGAGAAAGTATGTATGTGTGTGTAAGAGAGAGAGAAAGAGAGAGAGAGGGGGGGGGGGGGGGAGTGAAGGAGAAGACGGAAGGTATATTTATTTAGAGTCAGAAATGCGTCAACTCATATACAGATTCAATGCCCTTCCGGCTCAAAACATTTGTTGTAAATAAAAGTATTAGTAAAAGTAGTAGTACTCGCTTTATGCATAGCAACTTTATTTCAATTTCCACATAATATAAACAATGAAAATACATTACAATAATAAACGTAATGATATAACAGAAAGTTAGCATTAAAATATCTTTGACATTGTCTTTTTTTAAAGTCTAGTAATGCAAATATATTTAGTTACAGGAAATGAAAAACGAAGCTACTTGGAAGCAATGCTTGTTAAGTGTAGGTTCGCTCAAGAATAATTTAAACTTTACACATTCATACCTCAATATGAGAGAAAGGAAAGGAGTGGTCTGTCTCCGTGGGGTTCTTACCTTTATAGCCAATTTAAAAGACCATGCACAATGATGTTAGGGTATAGGACAAAGAAGACATAGTGCATTGAAATTGCTAGTCATCGGGCGGGAGCTGTCACAATGGAACAAACAATACATAATTGCTCTTGCAATAACACGGATGCCAATGTGTTTGTTTTTAACACCCAACCTTGGTCTTGCCTATTCTTTACAAGAATTCACATGGAGAGGAGGACAAAATTCTCATATTGGCCATGTTTGCTCCCAAACACACGCATCCCAGGATGATGATGATGCTGTTGTCATGGTAACACGTATCAGATGACGATGGAAATGGAGAATCTCGTGTTCATGCGTTGGCACTCGGAGATTGATGCATTTCCTTCACCGGGTTAAACAAAATGCTTGCGCCCGAATCTTTGTCGGTTTTTAACATTCATCAGAAACCACTTAACGTTCTGGGATATTCATTCAGAGGGGTAATCCACTCTGATATTAAGTTTTTTTTCACAGAAGCAGAAAATGTGAAAATATAAGCACATTCTGATTAAAAATAAGAAAGTTATGAATTTTTTTGAAGTTGCTATTAATCAAACACAAATTGTTAACGGAGGGAAAAAGCTTGTGAGCTCCCCTGCCCATGGGTGTCGATCCCGGGGGGGGGGGGGGGGGGTGGGGGGGATATATCCCCCCCAATATTTCAGGTGGGGGGGATGGCCTGTACAATCATCCCCCCCAATAATTCACCATAACAAAAATAAAAAAATGAAGAGACAAATTAATGATGAGAGT